CCTACATGCACAGTGGCGACTTTGTTAACACCTTCGTCCGTGGTGAGTTTTTTGTGCGATTGAGCGCTTTTTAAGCACTCTTCAGAATAAGTCCTGTTTGGTGTGTTTCACTTGATCCGCATGGGAAGAACTCGACATCGGTGGGATTCGATTCCACCAACATAACTAGAGCCACTGGGAGCCGTGAGTTTATACTCACATTGGGGTCGGGTCACTAAGGAATGCATCGATTCTGATGCATTTACCGGACCCAGTTTTGGAAACCTCGGTGACGCCAGTGGAATCACCGAGGCTGCTGTGCGAGGGCAATGACACATGATCGTTACGAAACTTGCGAGATCACTTTAACAATACGACGCCATCAGAATATTCAATCAGACTTCCTATGTAAATATTTGGAGTTTTAAAACCGTCACCACGAAAGTGTAATGCGACCCTTTCAATCCTTCTTCTCCAGGCGTCTACCCCAGTTGTTTTCTGCTTATCATGCAGGTTCTTTTGCACCATGTCTCCGAAATGGGCTTCTCAATTCTTTTTTTTCTTCAGGAAACCTTGTACTTCAGAATTCGGAAGAAAAGTGGCAGGCCACTGGAGATTCACCCATCCTCTACGGAACCGCCCAAGGTGGCCTGGGCATGCTCACGCAAATCTCTCCAGTCCTCTTCGCCTTCCTCAAGGAGGTGGAGTCTCGCATCGCCAATCTGATTGTGCCCGTCGGTGGCTTTGCTCACGAGAACTGGCGTGCCTTCAAGGCTGACAAGGTGATTCGCATGGCGCACAACTTTGTCGACGGTGATCTCGTTGAGACTGTACTTGATCTGAATGCAGAGGAGAAGGCCAAGTTAGTTGAGGGCCTGCGAATCCCGGTACGTCACGTCATTTCTTTGATTTTTCAAATTGTACTTACCACCTGTCCGCCTTTACTCCACTGCGTGTGCTCTCTGTTTTAGGCCACAATGGCGCTGTTTGGAACTGCCGGTTCCTCTATGGGTGCTGAACCGGAGACGCGACCCTGCACTGTGGAAGACCTCGTCAAGGTGGTTGAGGAGATGGCCAGTCTTCACTGATGATATTGACAACTTTTCCCTTCACTTTGCCAGATTTCCTCTACCCCTACCCCACCTTTGCATTCGCGCGCGTGCTTTCCTGCCTGTGGCATTACGTTTTTTCACAATGTCCTGTGCGTGCCCCTCT